CAGTGTCAACATCCTTGCTTCTAAGGCCCATGCTGGTTTCCAAGACCAACTTATTCATTCTTCTGGCAGTCCATGGGATACCCAAGATTCTTGACTAGCACCGTAATCCAAAGGCATCAATCTTTTTATCTTTCTTGTTTAGTGTCCAGCTTCGCACATATAGGAGATGATTAAAGATAACACCATGGCTTAGGTCGGGGTTCCTTAGTCCTCAAGGTCACATGTTGGCTTTGTTAACACTTTTTTTATTTAAATCATTTTATTAGGGGCTCATACAACTCTTATCACAATCCGTATATACATGAGTTGTGTAAAGCACATTTGTACATTCATTGCTCTCATCATTCTCAAAGCATTTGCTCTCCACTTAAGCCCCTGGCATCAGCGTTTGTTAACACGTTAAATCGGTCTGTTGCAGCAGATCAAGCCAGTGCAAGGCGACCTTTGAGCTCCTGACTGTGGCTGCCTCCGACTGGGGATCCAGTGAAAGGAAATCCTTGACCTCACCATTTTCTATGTATGACGATGTCACTTATTGGTCCAGTTGTGAGCACTTTCTTTTCTTTGGTCTTCGGTCTTCATCCTCACCTGCTTCAAATCCTCTTCACGTTCAGCCCGCAGGGTTGTGGCCTCTGCATCTCTCAGCCGGTTGAGTCTGCCTCCAACCTTGACGTCATATGCCATTTTCTCAGATGCACTTGGGCTTCTGGTTAGAACATGTTTCTGGACAGGCAGTGGGTAAGCCGAGCAAGAGCGTGTTGTGTCTTTTCTTTTTTAGAGGAGGGCGTCGTTGCACTAAAGCTTGGCTCTCCGTCAGTGCCTTCTTTAAGACGCCTGCCCTGAGTGTTTGCTCCCTGGACTGCTGAGGGAGGACGGACCGCCTGCCGCTCTCCTGGCCACCTTTTCTTCGCTCTCGGCCAACTTTAGCCTCCTGAACCCACTGCCTTTTCTCTTCCTTATTGTCAAGGATCAAAGTCCAACAGACTTGCTGCCCAGAGCCCCACCTCTGCCCTGAGAGCCTAGAAAGAGCCTCAGGCCGGAACTTTGCCTAATCCTTTGTTGAGGTCACCAGTGTACTGAGACACCCTGGCAGCGCTCTGTTGCTCCCTGTGCCTCAGTTTCCCCTTCTGCCAAGGAGGGGTAAAAATCGCCTTCCCTGTTTCCCTGACGCCTGAAGTTTAAATGGGTCAAGAGATAAGAAAGTGGGTGGCAACCAAGCCAGAGAAATAGTCGTAATTCCTTCTGGAACATTTATCAACTAGGTGTGGCCTAGTATACCAACACGGTTGCTTGGTTTCCCCCCACCCGAACACGGCCTCCTCCCTGCTGTGCTCAGCTTCGGAGGTAGGTCCAAGCATCCCTCCACTCTATAAAAAGTTCCCTGCCCCCAATGATTATAAGAGCAGTACCTCTCTGTCAGTTTTTACAAACCATAGCATATTCTAGTTCCTGCATGCATGTCGAGAGATGAGGAACCCTGGTGGTGGGGTGGGTTAAGTGTTGGCCTGTTAACCACAAGGCTGGCGGTTCACATCTACCTGCTGCTCCTCTGCAGAAAGATAAGGCTGTCTGATCCCGGGAAGGCTCACAGTCTCGGAATTGGGTCGAGGGCAGTATGTCTAATTTTGGTTTGGCTGTAGCTAGGGAGGGAGCCCTGGGGGTACAGCAGTGACGGGCTCAGCTGCCAACCCCAACCCGCCACCAGTCGGAGGGCGGAAGGTGTGGCTGCTTCTGTAAAAGATGACAGCCCTAGAAACCTTGGGGGGTGGGGGGGTTCTACTTCGTTTTACTGGGTTTCTAGAAGTCAGAAGAGATTAGATAGAATTGTTTGCTTTCGTTTTGGACGTAGCCAGATAGCTGCTCTCAAGAGAACTCCAAGTCATGCATGACAGCAGGAGCATCGCCCCTCCTGCGTCATCCTCACAGTTTGCTGGTACTCTAACATGCATCCTTGTGGCTGTTGTGTCAGGTCATCTCGCCGAAGGCCTCCCCCTACCCTCGCTGGCTCTCGACTTGACCACACGCAGTGTTCCTCCTCTCTGGCAATGGACCTTGCCCGATGAAGTCGCCCAAGCAAATGAGTTGGACAGCGTTCTGCTGTGACGCATAAGGTTTCACTGGCGGTTTGGGAAGTCCATCCACAGGCCTTTCTCTCTACTCTGTCTTAACCTGGAGACTCTCCCGAAACCTGTTCACCGTGGGCAATCCCCAGGGCACTTGGAATAGTGGTGGTATAGCTCTCAGCATTACAGCAACATGCAAGCCACCGTCATGTGGCTCACTGGATGGATGGACACACCTGAGTGGGAAAACCTGAGCTGGCTCGGCTTGCCTGGGAGAAGAGGTCTTTAAAGGGGACGTTAGCTGTAGCTTTAAGATTGAAGAGAAAATGTCCATTTAAAACATAAATGGGACCAGACGACAAGACTGGATCCTGGATGCTGTGAAGGCTTGAGTAGGAACATGCAAATAAGGCGTGGAGGTCTCTAACTTGGGAGTGGTCGATTTTGCCAAGCTAGAGCCGGAACAG